CCTCCTCCTCCTTCTCCTCCTCCTCTCCTCCTCCTCCTCCTCCTTCCCTTTTTGTTCACACATGACCTATAATTGAAAACCTCGAGGGAAGAACAACAGTTTATCACAGAAAAATTATCACGGCCTGCTTCCTACCTCTCTAGTGTTCATACACACTACAAGCGTTCTTTCTATGTTAAACTATTTTAGATACGTCACCAGTGCATGGTTACTGCTTTTCTAATAAAATAATAGCGTTGATGGATAAAACAGATACAGCCAAGCAAAAGGTCAAAACAAAGTTTGAAAATTGTGACTTGATGCTAATTTTCTTGTGTGCTCTTCAATCTTATATTTAGAACACTTAATTATGCCTGCCAAGTACTCCAATAAAATAAGAGCCCTCCGATTTTTTTATTTTTTTTAATCATCTATGGAATAGCCCCGTTTAGATGTGCTTAAAATCTTATTGTTTTTTTATGAATTTTCTTCCCGTTGGTCATATGCAATTTATCTTTATTTACTTGCCACAGTCTGTTCAGAGCATATCTTAATCTACTGGGGTTCTTGAGACTCCAATTTTCTTCCCCAAAACTCTTGATTTTTAGGGTGGGTTCTGTGAAAAACTCATTTTTTTGGTCATTGAGGATTTGGTAGATCTGCAAGAAAATTCTCGGAGGGCCCGTGTGCAAATTGCGCAGGTTAAAGACCCCTTGGTGGTCTAAAATAGTAAGTTTAGGCTTCGGCCGCCACCTGGGCAAAATTCAATATTTCCTACCAACTGAAAAAGTTGAATGTGTCCCGCGCTCTCATATGAACTTATGCAGTTGTGAGCGCCGTAAAACACTTACCCCCAAAGTGGGTGGTTGGCGGGTGCTCTGGTGTGGTTTGCTTTTTCTTTCCTTTCAAACATCTATCGTCCTTATCTCCCCTTCTTTTTTTGTGTTTGTTACTCTCTTGTAACACCTCTAATCTTCAGCACTTATATGACCTTACTGTGTTGCAAGTGCGGTAAAACACTTACTAAAACTAAACAGAAAATTACCCCCAAAATATAAAAATAAATAAATAAATATAAACTCTTCCCCCCACCCCGCCCTGTCCCCAGCATGGCCATTGAGCCGCTGTACCCCCAGCTGTGTGCCCAGCGACCGGCGCTGTGCCTGCAGTGGAACGATGAAGAACCGACACCGACCCAACTGGCCTCGTGCCTTCTCTCCTTGCCCTGCTCCCTGGCCTACCAACGCAACGACAACATCAAACTGGTGCAGCTCATCATGGAGGTCCGTCTATATATCTTTGTGTGTGTGTGTGTGTTGCGTGTGTGTGTATGTGTGTGTGTGTGTTGCGCGGCGCGTGTGTGTGTGTATGTGAGGCATGCTGACAAAATGAGTTACTTCTCGCGACCCACTAATGGAGATATTGCCTGGCCAAAAATTGACAATACAGTCATATTTGTAGCTGTAGATTCTTTTTCTTCTTCTTCTTCTTCTTCTTCTCCTTCTCCTTCTCCTTCTCCTTCTCCTTCTTCTTCTTCTTCTTCTTCTTCTTTTTCTTCTTCTACTTCTTCTTTTATCATAAAAGCTGTCAGTAGTTATTTCTCATTGGCCTGATGATTCAGATAAATATAGACGTGATCTACCTTGTTACCCCGTTGATCCGCATTGGAATAACGAATCAACTGTCCGTCCCTCCCTGCCTCCCTCCACTATCTCTCCCCGTTTTGCTCCCCTCTCTCTCCCCCTTCCTCTCCTAGCCCATCTCTATCTCCCTCCTACCTTCTTTCCCCTCCTTTCTACGAACC